GCAGCAGGGTGGTGCTGTAGTCCGGTCCGCAGCCAACCACACACTTAGCTTTTCCAGCATAATAATTCGGGGCTTCCTGAAGAAGAAGATGGATTTCCTTTAGAGATTTTTTTTCAATTAAACTTTTTATTTTGAAATCATTGTAGATTCACATGCAGTTGTTAAAAACAATACAGAGAGGTCACATGTCCCCTTTCCGAGATTCCCTCAGTGATAACAACTTGCCAAACTGTAGGACAATATCAAAACAAGGATGTGGACATGGATACAGTTAGGATACAGAACATTTCCATTCCAGCAAGAATCTTTCTTGTTCCTCTTCTATAGTCACACCCACTTCCCTCCCTACCCCACCCCCTTAACTCATTGTAACCCCTATTCTGTTCTCCATTTCTATAATTTTGTCATTTTAGTAATGTTATATTTGAGGGGGGACCCAAAACAGAATTATCTTCTGGAGGGTGGACCCCTTGTATTACAGACTTCTGCCATTAGGTGAGTGTTCTAGGATCCCCTCTGTATTAGTGTGCCAGCTCGTGGTGTTGTGAGAGGCTGCATTTAGCTTCAGTGAATTTTTTTTGAAGACTCTTTCAACACATTTGCCCATTTCACGATGGGGGGTTTACAAGTGCATCTGCCTACACCACACTGAGTGTTCAGCCGTTTTTGACCAAAAACGGCATGAACTCCATGTCCCACCCTCCCTGTTCTCACCTCCAATCTCATCCTCAGCAACTGTTTTTTTGTTTCTCCGGGTGAAAAAAAGTCCTCAAAGGGAAACGTTTTGCTGTTGTGGAAGAGGTGAAACAAAAAACAGCAGAAGCACTAAAAGGCATCCAAATCAATGAATTCAAACACTGTTTTGAGCAGTGGTAAAAATGTCTCAATTGGTGTATTGCATCAGATGGAGAGTGCTTGGAAGGTGACTTAAGTTTAAACATGTAAGAAAAAAGTATACACCTTTTTTTAATAAATAAATTCTGGCTTTTTGGGGTTCCCCTCTCACAGATGAAATCTCACAGTATGTAACTTACTGTGATTGGGTTTTTTTTGCGCTCAGCCTAATTCTCTGGAGATTAATTTCTGTGTGTATCAGTAGTTCATTTCTTTTTATTGTTGATTCATAGTCCATGGTATGGATGTACCATAGTTTTCTTAACCATTCACCCATTGAAGGACATCTGGGTTGTTACCAGTTTTTTGGCTATTGTAAATAATAAATAAAGCTATACAGGATATTGTATAAATATGTTTTCATTTCTCTGGGATAAATGCCCAAGGAGTACAATTGCTGTGTTATATAGTAGTTGCAGGTTTAGTTTGTTTTTAAGAAACTGCTAAAATATTTTCCATTTGTGTAAACGAAGTGGCTCTGCCATTTTACATTTCCACTGCAATGTTTGAGTAATCCAGGCTCTCTGCACCAACGCTTACCAGCTTTTGGTGTTCGTGCTCTTTTTTTTTTAATGTCAGCCATTTATAGGTTTGTACTAATATCTCATAGTTTTAATTTGCATTTTCCTAGTGCTTAATGATCTGGAACATATTTTAATGTACTTATTTTCCATGGTATACCTACCTCAGTGAAATATCTGTTCATGTCTTTTGCCATTTCCTAATTTCATTGTCTGGTTTTTTAGTTTGAATCTTGAGAATTTTTTATGCTGTCTAGATACCAGCCTGTCCTTTGTTGTATATGTAGTTTGTAACTATTTTTCCCATCCTGTATCTTGTTTTTTCACCCTCTTAACAGGATCTTTGCAGAGCAAAAGTTTCCAATTTGGCAAAAATCTAACATTAATTATTCCTTTTACTGACTGTACTTTTAGTGTCAAAATTAAGAAGTCTTAATTCTAGCCCCAGCTGGTGTGGCTCAGTGGATTGAGTGCCAGCCTGCAAACCAAATAGTTGACAGTTTGATTCCCAGTCAGGACACATGCCAGGGACACATGGTTGCAGGCCAGGTCCCCAGTGGGGGGCGCACCAGAGGCAACCACACATTGATGTTTCTCTCCCTCTCTTTCTCCCTTCCTTCCCCTCTCTCTGAAAATAAATAAAATAAAAAATCTAAAATATTAAAAAGATGTCTTAACTCTAGATCCTAAAAGAATGTATATTTTTTCCCATCATTTTGCTTTCGACTTGCCTATCTAGTTATATTAGAGATAAGTTTTCACCAATATATAGTTAGGTTATTTCTTTTGACCCATTTTATCAATCTCTGTCTGTAAATTGATGTGTTTAAACCATTTACATTATAATTTTAGATATGTTGGGGGTTTAAATCTGTCATTTATTTTGTTTTTTTAATTTGTTTGCTGTGTTTTGTTTTTCTATTTTCTCTTTCCTGGTTTCCTATGGGTTACTTGAACGTAATTAGAATTCTGTTTTGTTTTATATTTATGTTTTTTTAGTATATCTCTTTGTATAGCTTTTTTAGTGGTTGCTAAAACTAGTGTGGATGTGACCTTGCTAACAATGGGCAGCATGGAAAGGCCTGGCTCTCTGATAGGACTCCTCTAATACTGTCCTAGTGGGGAGGGAGAGGTGAACTTCACTACTGCCAGGAGGAGGCAGACGTCCAGGCTCACCCTGTGCTCTCCATTTATAGTACAGTAGCAGTGGGGAATGAGAGGAGGGAACACGGGCTTGAAACCGCTCTTTAGGGTTGCACGTCCCTTCAGAGGTTCAATCCCACCAGGTGGGAGTTGTGGATGAAGAGTTGGGGTGCCTCATTACAACCTTACAAGGGTGAAAATCTAGCTCCCCACTCAGCCTTTGCTAGAGGGGAGTAGACCATAGCTTTTCCGTGGTATCAGCTGGATTCAGTGATTACCGACAAAGTTTTCAGCCTTGCTAGGCTACCCCTTTCCTGGTGATTGTTTTAAATAGAGAAGACATTTTCAGGGACCTATATTGGTCTGGTCCCAGATTGGCATTTTCAAGTTACTGCTTCCTCAGCTCCAAATCTTGAAATAATGAGACCAAAAAAGAGAACCCAAGGAGCTTGTTCATGTGTTGTTTATTGGGACCCAAAGTTCCTAGCGGGCCTGCCTTCTTCTCTCCACCTTTCAGAGACTTCCTGTTTTGTTTTATATATTGAGTTGGCCAAAAAGTTCATGTGGTTTTTTTAATGTAAGGTGGCTCTAGTAGTGCTTAGTTGTCTCTACCTTCATTCAAAACAGTTGTGTTAGATTATGTTGTGATGGCTGTCATATAAGAGTTCATTTTTTAAAAATATATCAAAATCGGTGAATTTTTGTGTAGCCATTTTAATATTGAAGGTGGACGAAAATAAGCAACATTTTCCACATATTATGCTTTATTGTTTCAAGAAAGGTAAAAACGCAATTGAAATGGAAAAAAAGATTTGTGCAGTGTATGGAGAGGTTGTTGATCAAACGTGTCAACAGTAGTTTGCAAAGTTTCGTGCTGGAGGTTTATTGCTGGATGATGCTCACAATCGGGTAGACCAGTTGAAGTTGATAGCAATCAAATCAAGATATTAATTGAGAACAATCAACATTATACCACGTGGGAGATAGTCAACATACTCAAAATATCCAAATCAATAAAATTATTGGTGAAAATGAGAAATGTGTCTAATTTTACAGGAAAAAAGATACAGATTTTTTGGCCAACCCATATAATGCCCAGAATTTTTAGCTGTACTTAGCAGGAAGAATAGGGGAAAATATGATTACTAACACTATCTCCCCAAAAGGAGAAATTCTGTAAGTACTTTTTAATGTGAACTTAAATCACTCATTGAAAACTCCCTGTTAACCCTCTACCTGCTACTACTCCACTGGGGAGAGTTCTTTCTTTTTCATGCTACACAGTTGAAAGTATATGTATTAATCAGGGTTCTCCAGAAAAACAGAACCCAGAGGAGACAGATATCTATATATCTATCTGTATCTATATATTATTATAGATATATATAGATATAAACTAAGGAATTAGTTCATGTAGTTGTGGAGGCTGACAGGTCCTAAAATCTTCAGGGTGAATTGGCAAGCTGGCGACCCAGGAGAGCGGATGGTGAAGTTCCAGTCTGAGGTCTGGTCTGACATACTCCAGATCAAGGAAGAGCCCATGTTTCAGTTCAAGTCCAAAAGCAGGAAATATTCTCTTGCTCAGAGGAAGGTCAGCCTCTTCAGGCTTTCATCTGATGCTTTATTCAGTATACCCATTTAAATGTTAATCTCATTGAGAAACACCCTCACAGAAACACCCAGAATAAAGTTTGACCAAATATGTAGGCATCCTATGACTCAATCAGGTTGACACAAAATTGATCACTATGGTATGCAGACATTTAAAAACTCAAGACTACCAAATGGGTTAATTTGGATCTAAATATGAATTTTGACCAAGGTTTACTCACCAAATAATCTTTTGGTCTGACTTTGAGATAAATAGAGAAACTCAAAGGGAATGAGTAAAGCCTTTCGAAGTTTCAAAAATGTGTTTACAGAGAGCAGTCGCTATAATCTGGAAGGCAGCGTGACATTATGGAAAGTAAGAAATTTGTGATTGCCATGTTTCTTCAAGAGAATTTTATAAACAGGAAAACCATTACAACTTTTATTTTTTGCAATTCTTTGAGTAAAAATTTATCTTTTTGTTGAAAGATTTAAAAAATTTATAATAAGAATTTCTTATGACCCATAATCCTCTATAAGCAGCAGCTTTCTTATCTGAAAAGGAGTTTTATATCTGTAAAATCGGTGTGGATGTGAGATAATTATACATTCTCTAATGTTAGACATCTGGATAATCTTCAGTTTTGCAGCTTTATAAATAAGAGGCCATGTTGATGCTGAAATCCCTATCTTCATTTTGAATCATTTCCTTAACTGCATCTTCCTAGAGGTAGAATTGCTAAGGAAAAGAACCTTCCAGACAGGTGGTATACCAAGATTGTGCTAGCAGTGATAGCAATTGTGGGGGGGAGGGGAGAGGCTTTTCTAATTTTTAAAATTTATATCTTCCAGAAGCATCAGATGGTGAAGAAGGAGGAGACATAGAAATGACACAGCCGGAGACAGCTCCAGATATCCTATCAAAGAAAACCAAACAGGTGAGTCACTGTGGGAAAGTCACAGCTGTTAGATTCTGCAGTCATTCTATTCTTCCCTCTACAGTATTTCCTGTGCCTTAGCATCTGTTGTTGGTCAGATTTCAGGGAAACTTTTGCCTTCTCTGCCTTTAAAAAAGCCATGTTTCATCCATTGTAAACAAACAAGGTCTGTTTTTTCCCCTACCACGTTTTTTCACAATATAAATGGTATTTTTACGATAATGGTATCTTAGATTTCTGTATTACATTTTCACCAAATATCCAGCCTTATTCTTTTAGGTACAGTTCCTAAAAGGTGACAGATTTCATAAAGATATTCAAGATTATCCCTCTCCCTACTACACACACACCAGTGCGTGATTGCAGCACCAGGCCCTGCTGCCAGCAGGCTCCCAGGGCCACATGCCAACCAGCATTATGGTCCATTGTATGGATTCTTAGCACAGGATTTGTCGCCTTCACAGAACCGCAAGAGACCATTTGATAAACTTTATTTCTTGGACCAATGACCTTTTATTTCCTTTTAATCTTCCTACTGCCCATTCACATCCATTTGCAACTTTTTCACATGTGTCCCTCAAACCTGATGGATTACCATGTGTGATTTTTCTTTTCTGGAAATTTCCTTTTGTTTTTAACATTTTTTATTCTTAAATTACAGTTGACGTACAATATTAGTTTGAATTGTACAATCCCATGATTAGACATTAAAGTTACATAACTTACAAAGTGATGATCACGCCAAAAAATCCAGTACTCATCTGACATCATATATAGTTATTATAATATTATTGACTATATTCCCTATGCTATATTTTACATCCCCATAATTATTCTGTAACTACCAATTTGTACTTAATCCCTTCACTGTTTTCACTCAGTCCCTTAACATCCCTCCCATCTGGCAACCATCAGAATGTTCTCTGTATCTATGAGTCTGTTTCTGTTCTGCTTGTTTGTTTATTTTGTTTTTTAGATTCCACATATAAGGGAAATCATATGGCGTTTGTTTTTCTCTGTCTGACTTGCTTCACTCAGCACAGTACCCTCTAGGTCCATCATGTTGCAGATGGCAAGATTTCATTCTCTTTTATGGCTGAATCATATTCCATTGTGTATATGCACCACTATTTTATCATTTCATCTACTGATGGACACTTAGATTGCTTTCAGGTCTTGGCTATTGTAATAATGCTGCAATAAACATATAGATGTGTATGTCTTTTTGATTTATTATTTTAGGTTTCTTTGGATAAATGCCCAGAAGTGGAATCACTGGATCCTCCTTTGTCTCTTGTTATAGCCTTTGTGTATAGCCTTTGTCTTGTATAAATATTGCTACACCAGCTTTGTTTGCTTCCATTTTCATGAAATATCTTTTTTCCATCCTGTTACTTTCAGTCTGTGTGTGTCTTTCTGTCTAAAGTGAGTCTGTTGTAGACAACATATGTACGGGTGTTGTTTTGTTACGCATTCAGCCACTGTATATCTTTTTTTTTTTTTCTTTTTAATCCTCAACCAAGGATATGTTCATTGATTTTAGAGAGAGAGGAAGGGAGAGAGATGTCAATGTGAGAGAGAAACATTGATGGGTTGCCTCCCCATACGTGTCCTGACCAAGGATGGAACCTGCAACCTTTTGAAGTACAGGATGACATTCTGTTTAATGTACAGGATGACATTCCAACCAACTGGACCACCTTGCCAGGGCACCACCATGTCTTTTGATTAGAGCATTTAATTCATTTGCATTTAAAGTAATTGTTGATAGATAGGTATTTATTGCCATTGTATTGTTCCTATTTTAAATTTATCTTTTTTCTTCTTTAAGAAGACCCTTTAACAATTGCATGTAATGCTGGTTTGGTGGTGAAGAACTCTTTTAGCTTTTTCTTGTCTGGGAAACCCTTTATCTGTCCTTCAATTCTAAATAATAACTTTGCAAGATAGAGTAATCTTGGGTGTAAGTCCTTGCTTTCCATCACTTTGAATATTTCTTTCCAATTCCTTCTTGCCTGCAAAGTTTCTGTTGAGAAATCAGCTACAATCTTACGGGAGTTCTGCTGTAGGTAACTGCTTTTCTCAATGCTGCTTATAAGATTCACTCTTTTTCTTTAACCTTTGGCATTTTAATTATGATATGTCTTGGTGTGGGTCTCTTTAGATTCGTCTTATTTGGGAGTCTGTGCCTCCTGGAGATGTGTGTCTTTTTCCTTCACTAGGTTTGGGAAGTTTTTCATCATATTGTTTCAAGTACTTTTTTAAAAATATATAATCTTTATTATATTTTTTCCATTGCCATTGTGTAGATGTCCCATAGTTGTTATATCCACTCATCTATTGATGGACACTTGAGGAAGTCCATCTATTGATGGACACTTGAGGAATACATTGTACTTCCATATCTTGGCAAATGTAGATTATGCTGCAATGAACATAGGCGTGCATATGTTCTTTCAAATTAGTGTTTTGGGTTCCTTTGGATATATTCCGAGAAGTGGGATCACTGGATCAAAAGGAAGATCCGTTTTTAATTTTTCGAGGAATCTCCATACTGCTCTCCACAGTGGCTGCACCAGTCTGCATTCCCACCAACAGTGCAAAAGTGTTCCCCTTTCTCCACATCCTCACCAGCACTTGTTTTTCAATTTATTGATGATAACCATTCTGACAGGCGTGAGATGGTATCTCATTGTGGTTTTAATTTGCATTCCTGTGATGATTAGTAACACTGAGCATCTTTTCATATGTCTATTGGCCATTTATATGTCCTCTTTGGAGAAGTGTCCGTTCAGGTCCTTTGCCCATTTTTTAATTGGGTTTTTTTTTAATATTGAGTTTTGTAAGTACTTTATAAATTTTGGGTATTAACTCCTTATCAGATGTATTGGCAAATATGTTCTGTGGGTTGTCTTTTTATTTTGTTGATGATTTCCTTTGCCGTGCAAAAACTTTTTATTTTGATGTAGTTCCATTTGTTTATTTTTTCTTTTGTTTCCCTTGCCTGGGGAGATATATCCAATAAAAAATTTCTATGAGTAATGTCCAAGATTTTGCTGCCTATATTTTCTTCTAGGGTTTTTATGGTTTGGGATCTCATATTTAAGTCTTTGATCCATTTTGAATTAATTCTATTTCTTGCTCTCTCTCTCTTCTCCTTCCAGAACCCCCATGATGCAAATGTTGGTATGCTTGAAGTTGTCCCAGAGGGTCCTTACACTAACCTCATTTTTTAAATTTTTTTTATTTTTGCTGTTCTGGTTGGGTGTTTTCTTCTTCCATATTTTCCAAATTATTAATTTGATCCTCTGCTTAATCTACACTACTGTTGATTTCCTGTAATGTATTCTTTATTTCAGTTAGTGTGTTCTTCATTTCTGACTGGTTCTTTTTTATGTTTTTTATCTCCATTTTTGTGTTTCCTATCTCTTTGTTGAAGTTCTCACTAAGTTCCTGTACTCCTTCACTAAGATCATTGAGCATTCTTATAACCAGTCTTTTGAACTCTGCATCTGTTAGATTGCTTATCTCCATTTTGTTTAGTTCTTTTTCTGGAGTTTTGTTTTGATCTTTCATTTGTCTGCTCATTTTGGCTGCCTCACTATGTTCATTTCTCAGTATTAGGTAGAGTTGCTACATCTCCCAGTCCTGGTTGAGTGGCTTATGCACTAGGTGTGCTGTAGGTTCCAGTGATGCAGCCATCTAAGATGGGCGTTCCAAATGTGTCCCCAATATGGGCTATGTGCACCCTGTTGTAGTTGAGCCTGGATTTCTGTTGGCATATCAGTGGGAGGAATTTATCCCCAGGCTGATGGGTTTCGAGGACTGGCTGAGACCACCATGGAGGATCTGCTGTGCAGGAGCTGCCCCCACAGAGCAGAACTCACTTTAATAGGGCTCCGGTACCCTGCCAAGTTCACTCCTTGGGTGTGTCACTCGTGGAGGTGGTTGCATGGTGCCTTGGCATGTTCTGAAGATGTCCACAGGGTGCACTCTCTGGGACCTCCTAGGAGTTTCAGGCCAAGGTAAGCTGCTGCCTATACCCTGCCAGGGGCCACCTGGCATGAGTTACAAAGCAATCTTCAGGTGGCTGCTACGTGTGTTGGGCTTGGAGGTACCTAGGAGAGGCCAAGCTGTGAGCCAAGGTTGGCTGCTGCTAGTGCTGGGCCTGGAGCCATTTAGGAAGAAGTACAGAGTACACAGAGGCCAGATGCTTCTTATTTGAGAAGTTTTAGAAAAGTCAGCAACATGAACCAAAACATGGAAAAGCCACTGGAAACGGCTTGGGTGGGCCCGAACACTGGGTGGGGTGGAGTCACAGGGAATCACCAGGGCAGGTCAACAGTGTTAACCAGGTTGACGGAGACTCAGATATGGCGTCCATATGCAAGCCCTGTGTAGGGAGGGCTCAGCAAAAGAACCAAGGCCTCTGCCCAGGCTTCTTTCTCCTTCAGCCCTTCAGCTGCTCCTTCAGCTCTTGTCCTGAAGGCAAACAATTCAGCTCCTTGCCATATGTCCTGGCACCTTTCAAGTTGCTGCCCTTGCACTGGAGCTCAGAACAAGTGAGTCTGAGTAAGTCCATGCTGGAATAACTTCTAGGACTTCAGAAACCTTCTGTCTCACTCAGCTACAATCCCTGTTGGTTTTCACAGCCAGAAGTTATGAGGACTTCTCTTCCCAGCACTGGAATCCTAGGCTGGGGTTTCAGGTGTGGGGCTGGAGCTTTTGGCTTCTCAGGGGACCTCTGCAGCGAAGATATCCCTCCCAATTTTTAACTGCCTCACGTAGGTGTAGGACCAGCCTGTTGGCATCTCTGCCTCTCCTATCACTCTCAGTGTCTTCTTTTTTATGTCTGTCGGACTTCTGTTTAGCTAGATTTTGAGCAGCTCTGAATGATGGTTGTTCTGTAGTTTAGTTATAATTTTGATGTGGTTGTAGAAGGAAGCCAGTACCACATTTACTTACACTGTCATCTTAACCAGAAACTCCCCATTCTTTTA